CTCAGACTTACACCAAATTCTCCAGTTCTCAGGTTGTTGACCTTAGACTGAGAATTACAATATTGGCTCTCTGGTTCTGAGCGTATTGGATTTGGACTGGGCTGTACCACCACCATCCCCAGGCCTCCACCTTACAGAAGGCCTGCATAATCACATGACCCAATTCCCCTAGTAGTCCTCTTCTCCTCTACCTAGACATGCAGGTATCTAGGTAGATAGCATATTGGCTCTATCTCTGGAGGCTCCCTACTAAGGCACGAGCTCAGACTGACGTCACCAGCACCACTATTTCTATCTCCCAGGGGCCCTGACTGACAGGCTATACTGATGCCCGCACAGAAACTGATGGGAATCAGCACAGGATTTAGCAGCCTTTCAGTAATGCTCAGTGCAGTGGCTGTCCTTGTTACTAGCTGATTTATTTGCATCATGTTGGGATGGGCTTCGGGATAACTTTAGAGTTCTACTTCCAGACTGACTTAGCTTTGATGTCAGTGGTTCATGTGAGAAAGCTCTTTAAAAAAGGTAACATATTTTCTACACTCTTCATGTATAACTTCCTAAATGTGCACAAGTCACCAGATGTGAGAAAAGAGAAGTGGGCAAAAACATGCTGAGTCTTCTAGAATCTCATCCTGGGGGAAAACTAGAGTAATCCTGCCTGTCCACAGTTTCCCTTTCCACAGTTTAAATTACCTCTGTTCAACCATTGCCCAAAAGTACTAAAGGGAAAATCCCATAAATAAACCATCTTTGGGTTTTAAATCATAAGCTGTTGAAAGTAGCGTGATGAAATCTCTCCCTGTCTCCCTGTCCTCTTCCCTTTGTCCAGAGATCCTTGCTCTGCACTCAACCCACCACTTTGTCACTGAGTTGCTGTCCCGGTTATCAGACCGGTGTAGTAGCATGTGTGTTCACATACCCTTTATTCAGCTAATAATGCCCCAAACTGCACGAGTAGCTTGATGCTGGCAATGTGGATATGCCAAGGATTAGCACATAGTGTTTTCTTTCACCGAAAAAGATCTTGACTAATAAGTATTTTCCTGTTGTCGAGGTCTACAACAACAAATCTTCTATCTGTGAAATTGTGAAGCAGGAAACAGGAAATGTCGGCCAGTTTTTCCTCTGTACCTCATACTGTAGAACGTGCTTAGGTAAAATGGGACAGGCCAGAAGTTCTGGGGTTCGGTGCTATCTGTGATTTCAGGCATCCCTCACGGCCCTTGAATGGATCTCCCAAAGATAACAGAGAGCTGCCCTATCAATGTGTTGTGTACATGTTTAGATTGCATGGCACACACATGTTCCACACGTGTTCCAAAATCAGATTGTTCAAAGCATACCATTTAATAAGCTGCACCTGCTACTTGGATGTTTCATGAATATTTTTATGTCATATGTATTTGAGACTTGTTATTCTATTTTAGAAACCATCATAATATATTTAATCATGCTCCCTCTTTTGCTGAGCAAATAGCCTATTTGTACTTTAATAATTAGTATGACAATAAAAAAAATCATTCATGTTTAGTTTTGTTTGGGGAGTACCGAGATTGAATCCTGGGCCTTCGCACTGAGCTGCATCTCCACACCATTTTTTTTTTTTTTAATTTTGAGACAAGATCGCACTAAGTTGGTAAGTTGCCCAGCCTGGGTTTAAACTTGCAGTCTTCTTCCTCAGCCTCACAGAATGCTGACATTACAAGCCTGTGCCTCTGGCCCCAGCTCTATAGATAATGTATCATAGAAACATTAGATAGATAAATGTATTAATAGATAAATGTATCTATTCTTTCACTGAACAAAGAATGTGTCTGCCCCATGCCAACCACTGCTCAAAGCAACACAGAACAAGGAAAAGGAAACTCTCTGTCCTTTTTGGAGGCAGGGACAAAGGACCATAAGCAAATGAATAAATCTGTAATATGCTGGACGGTGACAAGGGCTATATGGAAACCTAGAGCAGAGCAACATGTTCTTGGGGTGACCAGATGGGGCAGAGAAGTAGGTGAGTGAAAGAGAAGCCAAGCCAATACCTGGGGAAGAGCGGTGGTGTTCAAACCGCAGCAAGGAGACTTGGGGACATGGACACACCCAGCACTGGGGATTCCTCTCTGAGTTCTGAGCAGAAGGAACCACCTGAGCTGTGCTCTTCCCAAGTAGCCCTGGCTGATCTTACAGAACAGACAATAAGAAGGCAGTGAGAAGCAGGGAGACAGGGAGGCTTTTGCAGAATCCAAGCGAGAAGGACAGGGACTTGGACAGATAGGAGGTGGTGAGAAGTGCCTCTTCTGACCAAAGGTTAGTTCACATCTTTAACACGTTGAATCATACAGACACACACACACACACACACACACACACACACACACACACACACTTTCAACTCCTAACTCCTACTGCCTCAGAATATGGCCTAATCTGAAAACAGGGTAGGTGCCAAGAAAATTGATTAAGACAGGTTTGTGCTGGGACAAGTTGGGTCCTAATCCAGTATGACCGGTGTTCTTACTGAAAAAGGAAATTTAGAAAGAGCCATGCTCACAGGACAAAGTCCATATGCAGGTAAAGGCTGAGCTTGTGTGGTGCTTCTGAAAGCAGCAGAATGCCAAACATCACCAGCAACTACTAGCATTGGAAGAGAGACCTGGAGCAAGTTGTCCCTCAGAAGCCTGATAATTACGAGGAACCAACCCCATCTACACCTTCATCTTAGACTTCCAGCCCACAGAACTATGAGCCAGTAAATTGCTATTGTTTAAGCTAGCTTACTTAGGATACATCGTTACAGCACTCCCAACAAACTAATATACCTCACTGCGATACATTTCTGAAAAAAAAAAAATATATATATATATATATCCTTCTAAGGGAACATGTACTAAGGCTTTTGATACAGATCTGCATTTGGAAGAGGTGTATCTGTTTACATTCCCAATATCAGGGTTGAGAAAGTCCATCTCATCACACTTAGTGTTATGGCTTATGCCTAGCTGTCCCCCCAAAGCCTCAAGAGGTCTCAGGTGGGGCTTTTTCAGAGGTGGCTAGAGGTAGAGCGTGTGACCCTGGAGGTGATTCACGGTGCAGTGCTAGGCTCAAGGGTATAGGACTAAGGGTGTGAGAGCTGCCAGCCCTAAGAAGCCTGGATAAGATAAAAGAGGCAGAAAGACACTGTTAAGGCTCTGTGTTGCTTTTGCTGTCTTCTGTGTGCAGTGAGTTGTTTCCCCTCTTTGACGCCCCTCTGCCATGTGCCACCCTGCCTTGGAGCCAGCCAGCTATGACCGAGACCTCTACAGACTGTGAGCTTAATAACCCTTTTTCCCTTTAACTTTGGGTATTGGGTATTGTGTCTCTGCAACAAGAGAGAAAAATGGCTGAGAGGGAATTTGGTACCAGAGAAGTAGGGTCATTATTGTGACTGTACCTGATCGTGTGGTTTAGGAGACTTTGGAGCTGGCTTGTAAGAAGGGAAGAGTTAAGAAATATCAGAGATGTCGGCTAAAAAAAGTAGAGCTGAGACACCTTAGGCTGTGGTTGATAGGAGATTCTGGTCAGAGCTCAGAAGACCAGAAGGTTGATAGAAAAATTGCAGGTAAAGACCAAGCTGGGGAGGTTTCTGCTGGGAAGGAGGGCTACATTGGCTGTTGGACTCCAGGACAGAAAGGGGCAAAAAGATGCTCTTTTGGACCTGTGTTGCTTTTGCTACCTTGTGGGTACCTTGAACTGTTTCTCATCTGCAACACTCCTCTGCCGTGCCACCTACCTTGCAGCCAAACAAGTACAGCCTGAAACCTCTACAAACTGTGAGCTAAATATGCCTTTCCCTCTTTAACTTTGAGTGTTGGGAATTTTGTCTCAGCAACAAGAGAAAAGTAACTGAGATGGTAACAGGGACGTAGACTTGTTTGGTAACATTTCACAGTATAATCGATAAAACTATCTATTGTAATGCACATTTTTTTGGTGACTAATACCTGGACACTTTTATGTTTACCGATTCTTTTGTGAATTGCCCGGTCTCATTCTTACCTCGATTTTCTACTAATCTGCTTTCCTGTCAGCGTTGATTCATAAGAATTTTTCATCCATAAATGATATAAACCCTTTGCCCAAAGAGCTCCAGGAACACAAACACATACAAAGTAAACATTTTAATGTCTCCATTTTCCATTTGGCTTTTATTCCTTTAATGGTCTATATCTGGGCTATTGTTCAGCTTCATGATGATTAATGAAAATAAAATCCAGTAGCAAGAAAAAGAACAAGTCCTTTGGCCAAGTAGGGTATATTTGCGGTATATTCTAGGACTGCTTAACACTGGGAAATTAAAGAAGATCATTCATAATGCTGGACAGGCAAAGGTAAAAAAGTGGCAACATACTGTTAGGTTCCACAACTGCATTAGGCCGAATCAAACATCAAAACACTTGGTAAAACAGGAAGAAAACAAGGAAATGTTTTAATAGAATAAAAACAATAAGACAGGTCTGGAGGGACATGCCTAAAATCCAAGCACTCTCGGAGACCAAGGCAGGAGGATCACAAGTTCAAACCTAGCCTGGAGAACATAGCGACTTGCTGAGAACCTGTCACAAAATGAAAAAGTGAAAAAAGGGCTGAGGATGTAGGATGTGTGAAGACCCTGGGTCCAATCCCTAAGACCAAGGGGGTGGAAAAAAAACCAGGTAGGTTTTCACATTGATGTGTTATTGTGTTGTAAAACTAAAGGACATTAGGGGTCTTGTCCCAAGAGTGGTTAACTCCAATGGGGGTGCACAGTGTGATTCTGGAGCGCTGCCCATGCCCTTCTCTTGGCCTCTGTAGGGCTACAGGAATACTGGATATTCTTTCAACTACACCCAGATGTCCAGGGCAACTGTCTGTGATGACAACTATTGTAATAAAGAAGAAAAAGATTCAACATGCAAAAAAGTGTACTTATTGTCACCATTATTGTCATTGTCACTCCAGTGCTCCTTTGTTCTGTCCCTTTCAAGAAAGACGGAGAAAGAAAAGATCGAGTATTCGGGATTTCTTATCAGCGAAAACCAGAAGTGCTCCAAGTAGCTCCAGCTGAGAGACAGGTACGTTCCCCAGCTTTCTCACCTTCATGTCCTATGAGGTAGAATTGCAGCTAAGGTGAGTGTGGGAAAGTAGCAATAAGGGCTTTTCCCCGTGGTCTCACACAGGGTCTGGCGCCCTTCTGAAGCTGCAGCAGGTCAAAGTACTGGCAGGAGCGGTGAAACGAGGCCCTTTATTTCCTGCTCTCCTCAGCAATGGGATACATGACCCCAACTTTCAGGGCATCAGTTTCACAAGAAATGACACTGGAGGTGACATTAACAGGCATCCTCTCCTCCCTAGGACTTGTATTCCATTAAAGGACAAGAAGATGGCAAGATGGATGTGTGACCCGCCCCCCAGCGTCACTGGGTCTCAGCTGAGCCTTTACTCCCCAACACCCGAACTTCGTGACGGAGCTCGAGCCAAGGAAACACAGAGGTTTCAAGATTCCCTTGCCACAAATCTCAAAGCTATCCGGAATGTTAGTGAAAGCCTTGTGCTTCAGTGAAAAGGAAAGCCGCAGCCTTCAAGGTAACATTCCCTGTCCTGACCATTTCAGAGTTATGGCCAAGAAGTGTGATACCATCAGACCCCTCTGGGGCACAGTCCAGTGGCCACATGGCAGGTATGCAATAAAATCCAAAAAGAAGGGGCACAAAGCAGCTCCTGGAAATGCGAGCATATGGCCTTCCTAAAAGAAGAGATGGAAAGTAATTTAGCTAACGGTCTTGCTCCATGGCCATTTAGAAACCTCTGCCCTCATGTTTGCATTAATACTTTTTTTATTTCCATCTGTTTTTTAAGAACTATAAAGCTATTCTCTGGAATAAATTGGTAGGTTCCCCCCTGGGACCCCAGAAAAGCCATGAGACTGGGTGTTAATTGAAGAATGGCCCCTCCACCGAGCTTCCTTTCCTACCTACATCCCTGAATGCACCTGCTTCTGTTTATTCCAGGCACACCCCAGCAGCATGCTTTAGAATAGCTCCTGTCTTCTGCCTGTTCCCCAGCCCACACCTGCATAGCTAGGAAATCAGTACCCCTGAACAACAGCATGCTTACATGGAACACTTCACCGGGCACTTTCACCTGGCCTGTTTTATCTATCCCCACAACTCTACAGAGGAGATACTATTTCCATATTACGAGGACATCAGAACCCAGACATACTGTTCGTGGCAACGTTGGTTACAAATTGCAGTGCTGGGATTCCAACACAGACCATCCCCCTCTCTTGTGGGGATGGTGGAGTTTAGTCACAATATATGTAAACTGCTTAACATGGTCTCTACTCCATGAATGTGCTACTGTTATGACTAATTTAGCTTCTGGAAGTGAATTACCTTAAGATCCACCTTCCATCCCATTACATAATTCAAGACCAAGTCGTTCAGTCAGGCACACCCGTGAGACCCACTGGTATCCTGAGAAGGGCATTTTGTGGGTACAGGGGTTTGGATTCAGAATGCTGTCAAGGTAAAGAGTTCTCCACCATGTGCCAAAGGCTTGGTCCCCGAGCAGTGGTGCTACTGGGCATGTGTGGCTCAGTGGGAGGTCTTCCAGTCACTTGGGGGCTGCCCTTGAGGAAAGTAGGAGGACTTCAGCCTCGTCCTCTGCCTCCTTTTGCTCCCAACCACCAAGAGTGAGTAGCTTGGCTTTGCCCCGTGCTCTCCACCATGATGACTCCACTGCCACCGGCCCCAAAGCAGCAACACCACTCCGTCATGGCTGACAGTGCCAAAATTGTGAGCCAAGATGAACTTCTTTTCTCTTTAAAGTTAATGTATTTCAGATATTTTTTGTAGTAACGGAAACATAACCAACACAATGGGCAAGGGACTGTTGGTATCAAATGTTATGTGGATGCCTCCTTACACCCAGCAATTCTCCACCTGTGAATTAATCCTGTTTACCTATTCTCATTTCTGCAATACACATACATCTGTATAAGGAAATTGAGGCCACTGTAACTACAGTGATCATAGATTAAAGATGAGAACCATGTACTCAGCAGTAGAGAGTCTCCTGAATAAAGAGTATGCATGGATTCAATGGCAGGCAAGCAACCACTAAAAAATCAATATATTTCACAAATGCTGACATCCTACTCACTAATTCTATAGGGCTTAAAAAACATTATGTTTTGTTTCATCCTCATGAAAGTCCCAGGAGAGGGCACTACTCATTCCCACAGACAGGAAAGCAGAAGCCCAAAGAGGTCAGCACTTTCCCACTTTCCCACAAGCGCACCCTAGCAGGAAGTGACAGCACCAGCCTCTGACACCCAGCACCTCGGCCCGGAGTCACCCTAGCACCTGCCGCACCGTTCTGCAGCCTCTCTGGACAATTCCAGTCTCAAACTTGTCCGTGATGGAACTGGAGAGGATAAAGCGGGGGATGATGTGAAGTTAGACAACAATAAAAACATGTAAAGCAGAGAGAATAGATTCAGCGCAAAATAAGAAAGGAAAAACTCATGCATTGTAGACGTAAGCCATGCAAAGTCTAACACATAAGTCTAAGACCTACTGCTCTGAAAAAATATAAGCCACTAGATAATTTAACCAAAATAAGCAAATGGAAACACAGAATGTGAAGCTAGCAGCAACCCCTTCTAGTTCCAAGCATGAGCACAGCCGTCACGGCTGACGCAGCAAAAACTATTAAATCCTAGGAGAAACCTGAACTGAAGGAGACGCGGGCCAGGTCATCGCCAGCCATGAAGTCACCACCACAAGCCCCACTTTCTCCAGGCTTAGCAGCAGTGGGAAAAATAAGCCCTGGTGAAGTCTGCTTTGTGCAATTCTCATCAAAAAATAAATAAAAACAGATATGACACGTTTGTAATAAAATACACTGCCTCATCTGGTGTGTCCCAGGCAGGAAAGAAATTCTCAGTTTGATGAGGCAAGGACAAGAACCCAATTCTACACGTTCGATTTTCTATACCTCACCGTGAGCAGAATTTTCCACAGGGTAATTTCTAATCATATTCTCCTCTCCTGCCCATGCAATCAGGTGCTGGGTACAATATAGTGGGGTTTTTGACATAGGACTGGGAGTGAATCGGAGCAGCAAGGGGTAGGAATGGTCTTAAAAGACATAATTTAAATATCCAAAGAAGTGAATGCAACAGGCAGGCAGAGCCCATCAGACACAAAGGGAGTGCACACCCAAGCCTAATCCCCCATAGTCAGATCCCAAACTACACCCTGGCCAATCAAAGCCACCGAACCCCGGAGAATTGTGTCAGAGGGGAAGGCGCAATGAAAGGACTTGAAGGTCTCCATCAATTACAGTTAAGATCTCTTATTATTGTAAGTTGATAAGAATTACGATCAAGTCAGCCACACTGTAGCCAAGCCTGTACAAATGAGAGTCTCCAATTTATGTCTCACAGTAAAGCAATCATCAATGGCTCTTGCTTCCAGTCTTTTAAAAACAATTGCTAGCATAACTGGTTAGGATTGAGGAAAAAAAAAATTCAGCTCTACATCTTATCTGTCAGTGTATGCATAAATACATTCCAGATGAATTAAAGAGTTGCATGAAAGCTCAAACCATTCTTTAAAAGAGTATAAATGAAAGCATCTATTTTGGTCAAGAAACAGGGCTTAGAAACAATAAACAATACCTCAAGTGAAAAAATTGACAGATGTTTCTGTATCAATTTAAATCTTTTGTCTATTTTTAAAAAACACAAGCATTTTAAAGGAAACAAAAAGATGAGGGAAATAATTGCAACCATATGATAAAGGTAGACACATTTTAATATAAAATATTTCATAAAAGAATGAGGAAAAGCACCTAGATTTCCATAGACACCACAAGCTAATAAAAGTGTGAAAAGTGTTCAACCCAACCAGTTCATGAAAGGAAGTCATACAATGGGCAAAAATGTGTCATTTGTACATTTGGTAAATATTTTTCAATGTTCATATTCAGGCTGATAAGAGACAGGAAAACTGGAAAATTCAAACATTAGTCATAAAAATACAAATAGGACCAAAATTTCAGGAAGGTAATTGGTATTATATGTCAAGAGTTTTTAAATGTTCATATATTTTAGTAGTTCTTCTACGAATGTGTCCTAACAAAATGAGGTGAAATCCAGGCAAAATTCTTATACGCCTGTTTCCAGCAGGCACCGTTCTTAGCTGCAAAAATAACACCCAACAATGATAACTATAATACAGAAATAGAAATGCAATAGTATGTTTTGAAGAAATGAAAATATTCCTTTATAAAAAAAAACTAAGCATTTAGAAGGGGGAAAGTAAAGTTTCTCTCTCTCTCTCTCTCTCTCTCTCTCTCTCTCTCTCTCTCTCTCTCTTTCTCATACATTTTGCTTGAGGAAAAGAAAACAACATTCTCTAAACCCTGGGGGACAACAGGATGCCACCTTCAACCAAAAATCTAATGCAATACCAACCTTCGATATCCAACCACAGCTACAGTGCAAAGTTAGGCTACGGTGCGGGTAGGGAGAAAGAATATTGAAAAATACCTACACCCAGACCCAGACCCAGGCACACAACAGCTATGTATATAAATAAAAATACTTATCTGAGGAATGCCTGCTCAAGTTTTTTGCCCTTTATTTTCCTAGTGATTCTCTAAATCTGAAGAAATTCTTTACATATTCTATAAATCAATTCTTTGTTAGTGGGTTGGACTTTTTTCCCCTTTTTGCTTTGTTTTCTTTTGTTGTTGCTGCTGTTGTTGTTGTATTGCAAACACCTTCTCCAAATCTGTGGTTCAATTTTTACTTCGGTTATGATATTTTCAATAATATGCAGATATTTATTTCTCCCCTAAGACTGGAGCTAGACCATAACAACAGAAAGCCCACAACATAAGCCTTGCACAGTGTAACAAACACAATCAGTCAGCTCCCAGGAGAGAGGCCAGGATCTGGAAAGACTATGCACACAGGCTCACACACGTGCACTGTATGACGCAGAGAATCAGAAAGCTCTGCAGGGACACAGCTCACCCAGAACATAATGCGGAAACATTACTAAGGCAAATCTGAAGCACATGAGCAGCTGGATGCAGCCAAAGCAAGGGCAAAACCCAAATCCAGATCAGCTCTTGGCTACACCAACCAACTCCCTTCACTAGTGGCTCAACAGAAAGACAACTATTCCCTCTTCTAAAAAATCTAACCATTTACTTCAGTTTCTTCCACACACAGTACTCTGGACCCAACAAGACACAATGAAGTAAAACAACCATTATTAACAGTTGTACCAACCAACTCAGAGGTGACTCCCATGTTGGAACCATACGGACTTTGTAAAGCGGCGGTAGAAACGTTGGGAAATGTCCGTGAACAGATGGAGAGGTAGAAAGTCAAAAGGAAATTCTAGCAACAAAAGAAAAATAGTATGATGGATTCCCTTACTGAACTCATCCATATCCTGGCCTCAGATAAAGAAAAACCAGCACACCTGAAGGTGCATTAATAGAGATTACCCAAACAGAAGCCAAAAGATATAAAGAGTAGGGGCAAAAACAGAGAATCCAAAGCTATGTGACAATCGAAGATGGTCTAACACACATGTGATGGAAAGAGAAGAGATAGGGAAGGGGAAAGAAACAGTGGAAGCAACATCTGAGGATGTTTAAAAGTAATACATCAAATCACAGATCTACGGATAACAGAGAAGCACAAAAAAATCAGTACACATGCATGTGCTCACACACATACACACAACTGCACACACTTTCAGACACATCATAGTTGAACTGCTAAAAGCCAAATATAAAAATCTTGACAGTCAATAGATGGAAATACTGAAGATCCAAAGGAATAAAAAATAAGAATTGCAGCACATACTTCATCAGAAACCACACAACCCAAAAGACAATGACATGATGAAGTAGAGAGGGTGGACCATAAGATTTCGACAGCCATCAAAACCATCTTGAAGGTCGAAGGCCAAATTGACTTACAGACAACACAATTGAGAAAGTCTCTTTCCAGAAGACATATTGGAAGAAATATTAAAAGAAATTCTTCAGGTGAAAGGAATATGATAACTGACAAAGAAATTAAGAGTGCCAGAAAAAGTAAAACTACATACAAAAATGTCCTTATTTTAATTGCTCTGGAAGACAACTCTATCTAAAGCAGAAATAGAAACAATGCATTACGGAGTTTATACCATATATAAGATTAAATGTATGCAAACAGTAGCACAATGAGATGGAGGAACTGGAAGTATGCTCTAATGTTGCATATTTGAAGTGGTAGACTATCATCTGAAGGTAGATTGTGATAAATCAAAGTACATATTATAAAGCCTAAAAAAATCACTTTAATTTTAAGCCAATAGCAGAGATAAATTAATTCATAGAAAATAATCCAAAAGTAGGCAGAAACAGAGGAATTGAGAACACAGAGTAAATAGAGGAACAACTAAAAAGAAGCGATTAGAAAGAAAGTAGATGGCAAGCCAGCCCTGTCAATAATTATGTTAAATGTAAATGGTTTAAACTCTTCAAATAAAGGATAGGGATGTCAGACTGGATTTGGTTTAAAGCAATACCCAAACATATGCTGTATAGATGAAATCCACTTTATATATAGACATAAATAAGTCAAAGGAAAACAAGCAGGAAGAGAATACCATTAAAACCTTAATGAAGCCAGATGTGGCAGTTCATTCTGTGATCCCAGCACTCATGAGGCTGAGGTAGATGTTTTGCCGTGAGTCCAGAGCCATCCTGGGCTATACAGTGAGTTCAAGGCCAGCCTGCACTACAAAGTAAGACCCTGTCTCAAAAAAAAAAAAAAACTTTAATGAAAACTAAGTCTAAAAAAATTAGACTTCAGAGCAAGAAATACTACCAAAGATAAAGGGGGACATTACAAAAGGCTAAAGTGACCAATTGACCAAGAGTACATAAGAATCCTAAATGTGATTAAAAACAGAGTTTCAAAATACAGGAAGAAATCTGATGGAACTGGGTAAGGAGAGATGGAAAAACAATTTCAGTTGGAAAATACGTAACTCTTCTCTCAGCAGTTACTAGGACCAGTATTCAGAAAATGAACAATGATGTGGAAAACTTGAGCAACTCTGTCAAAGGACTCGATGCAGAGGCTACATAGTGACAGAGGACGCATTCTTTTCAAGCCACCGCTGGCCACACTTCAGACTACAAAACATCCACCTATGTAAAAGGAGTGTAAAAGGACAGTGTATGTTCTCTGACCATAATAGAAATAACCTCGAATCAAGAACTCTGGGGTCCTTGCCAGGACCTGGGATGAAGAAAGTTTTAGCAACAAAAAGCACAAGGGAAATTCCAGGGTAATGAGGCTGTTCTAAATCTTGATTATGGGCTCTGTTACATGGCTCTAAGCATCTCCCACAATTCATAGAACTGCACCCCAAAAGAGTGCTGTATATAAACCATGCCTAAACCCTGTAGACCTGACTAAAACTTTAAAAAAAAAAATTAAAAGATATTCTTCTGATAATATATGAAACGGGATTAATATTGTAAGGCTTTGTAGGAAGCCAAAGATGTTAAAATGAATAGAAAAACCAGAACAAATTATTTTCAAATACCAAAATATAGACTATTTGGTTTTTACTTTTGTGGTACTGGGGATTGAACTCAAGACCTTTACTCTATCCCCAGTCCCTTTTATTTTTCATTTTGAGACAGGATTTCACTAAGTTGTCCAGGCTGGGCTCCAGCTTGTGATCTTCCCATGGCCCTGTTTATTTGCTTTCTGATCCTTAAGATTATTCTGCATGTTAAGAATGCTCAAAGACAACACAAAAACACTTTCTATGGAAATTGTACCAAACCATTTAAAGTGAAGCCCATAATTTTTTTGTGTGGTGTACAGTTGTTATCCCCAGAGGCAGCCACTCAGGGAGCAGACGCCTGACATGATTCATTGAAGAGTCTGTGCCAGGAAGACTTCGGAAAATCCTGCCTTGCGGAACAATTGTGACAGTAGATTTTCATCTGGAAAACAGAAGCCAGATCAGCCATCCCTGGGAAAACACTGTGCCATGGTGCCGATGTCCAGGCCTTCCTAGCCAATGGATGGAAAACGTGCCGACAGAGGGAAGGACACCAAAGCTCGGGCTACCTCGAACATCTACACATGTGATGCTGTAGGGACCATGGAGGCTCGTCACTTGTAATATTTTTTGAGAGAAAAAAACATCTTCCTCAAAGCCAAGTTGTGAAGAGTTACATTTGTGTGCTAAAAGTGTCACTATTTGGGGGGTTGAAAAATCATAGACAAACTATAATGATAGTAAAAAGAGCAATGGTCACCAGGTAGTAAAATGGGAGGAGGTAGTAAAATGAGAGCGAAGGGTTGTTGTTTTGTTTTGTTTTTTTAGGGCTCAGTACTATTCTGTATGATACTGCAATGACAGATACATGAGAAAATGCAATTATCAAAACCCACAAAGGTTAACAATGCAATGAAGCTTAATATACATCTCAGAAAAAAAAAATAGGGTCAGGGAATACCAGGAAATAATGCATAAGGTAACAAAACAATCTGACTATCAGAAATGTGTCAGCCTCACTGAAGGGGAGAGGAAACAGATTCTGACCTAAGTAACTTTGCAAATGAGTGATGTTTTTATGACTAAAGGTGAAAGGAAGTGTATGTAAGCATTGTACTCCAGTTGATAACACGTTTTCCTTGTGGAAGTACGTTTAGGTTAGTAACTCTGATTCTGCTCTACACAATGTGATCACAAAATACAGTGACTATTTAAAATTTAAAGCTGTACTACAGTAAAGACACATTGCCAACTTCTCCCATCATTCTTGCCACTTTGTGAAGCAGCTCTGGAGTCTTCTCTACTGAGTGCATTTAGTTTCACTGTCCTGGCTGCCTCCATGTCCTGGTTGATCCAGAGTGATTCCCTTTCATGGGTACATTCCGACTTTGAGGAAGGACCCGGAGTCACACGGTGCCAGATGCAGTGAATGAGGGGAATAAAGACACACCCTGCTGTCCTTATGAGCCTGCCTTTCCATTGGATGGTGCAGCATTCACTGTGTTCACTGTGTTTTCCAGCACATCTCAAAGACACTCCAGAGAGTACAGGTTACCAGTGCTTAGCCCCAAAGCCTACTGTTGAGTTTCAGACTTCAGAGTTACTCAGGGGCCCTGGGATAAGTTATAGTCTTCCACAATCCCCCTGCCCCAGCATTAGCTGCTGTACCATGCCATGCAGGCAGTCACCAGGTTGAGCTCATAGGCTGTGGTGATGAAAGGAAGAGATATATGTTGGACAGTCAAGTGAGCCACCTGTACACCTCCAGGAGACCCCGGCTGGCTCAGCATGGGAGGGGAAAGCTGCTGCCATTATCACTTTGAGGTTCAACACTGGCTTGGCTTTCCTTTCTGTGCACGTACAAGTGCCTTCATGGGATGAGATCCAAAGTACAGTGAGTGCTGCTGCCCATGACCATCCGGTGGAGCTGCAGGTTCCACAAACTTTGCAGTCGGCCCTCATTTGTGCCAGAGGCATGCCTGTTAATGGAGAGTGTGATGTTTTCATAATCAATGCAAGTGTGCGGTAAAATACAACTTGGAGATCAGAGAGAAGACTAGGCATGGAAATGGCACTTATTTCATTTTCTGTCATATACTTCTAAAACCATAGACTTAAGAAAATTCAAAAAGCGTTCTAAACAAATATAGATACTCACTTCAACAATAGAAAACAAGCTGGAATGCAAGCAAGATCTTTAAAAGACAAAAGACGAGAAAGCAAGTGAGGAATTCTAAAGAACCCAAATTCGATGCATTTTATAACAATGTTGAGGCATAACTTTGATAAAGGAGACATACAAATAACACTTCTTTCTTGGGAGAAGTAAGAGTGAGAGTAGCTGAATATAAAAAGGGAAAGATAGTTAAAAGGAGATATAATGTTATTAACTTACAAGCTAACTTTGAATTAAGGACTAAATGCACCAACTCTGCAAAAAAATAAAAACAGAATAAAGCATCACCTGTATATTTCAGATGCACCCCAGGAAAGCTTGGGAGGTAGGAGGAATTCCAATGGGCTTATGAAAGAAAAAAGAGAGGGGATAAAAGCTAGAGCATTTCTAAGGTGAATAATTTTTTTAAAGAGTGGACAAATTATCGATTAACCTGATGCTTACAATTATTCACAATAATAAGAGAAGAGCTGATCCTTGAATGCTCCAGAGAAAGAAGTCCTAAGAGTTTTCAGAACCATAAATAATGGGGTTGATTAAAAATAGGTCATCCAAATCAATCTAATTGGCTGCTATTTTTAATATGATTTTTTTTCATTGATTTTTGAAATGGGTCGCCCATTAAAGCACATTAATCATAACCCTAAAAGTGTATTTGTATTGCAAAAAGCCTAAGGTGGAGAATAAAAAGCTATTTCCCACCACATGAATCCTCACCAAAGACAGCTGCAGCCCTGCTTTCCCCAAGAAGAAACATTTCTGGGCAAAGGCTGGAAGGTGAGGCCCCGGGGTGATAAAACTCCATCCTGCTGCCCAGCAGCACTTCCAGGATGTGTGGAAAAGTCAGAGTAAAAACACATCACAGTCGTCTGTGTTTTCGTATTACATGAGCAATGTACTCCCATAGTGGCCTAATAGATACTCACTCTGGAAATTGCAGCTAAAGAAAATTAGTATTCAGCATGACCCCTTGTGTCATCACTCAGAGGTAACCCTCGGAGCATTTTGATGCTAGGCCCACTCAAATTTTTAAGACATATAATGTAGGTTTTAACACAGCTATGTAATATATACGTGTGGAATCTCCCTGCATGCTAAAATATAGTTTGCAGACACCGAGACACGGTTCTTCAAAATGGTGCAAGGAACACAGATGGGTGTCTCTCCCAGGGCCCACGACTGCCCTGCTCGTACTGGGCGCGGCACACTGCTTCACCAACAACCCTCCAGCTCAGCCCTGCTGACAGCATTCTTCACTTGGGGTAGATTTCCAAAATGCAAAGTCATTAAATCAAAGAAGAAACACACTCTGAGGGCTCCTTCACACGTGCCACCCAATTAACCTCTGGGAACACTGCACAGATTGAATGCTTTCCCAAAGTGCTAGAAAATATTTACTTCACACCTTTGCTAATATTTGTCTTGTTTCTTATCTTTACTCATTTGATGATAGGCTGTAAATGATGATGATTACTTTGGCTTTTAATTTAGTTTTTCAGGCAGAAAATTTTATATGTTTATGGAGCATTTGTATTCCACATTCTGCGAATTCTGACTTACGAATTTTCCCCTTTTGCCTTTTGGGTCATTCATGATAACGTTTATAAATTCTTATTATTAACCCCTTATAATAGTTGATTCATCTCTCATATTTTTGTTTGTCTAATAAATTGGTCTTAGGTATATTTATCACTAAAAATGTTTCTATGTATTCACACTGTTTTCTCTCTGATTTACTAACAATTTGCTTTAATTTGCTTAGCATGTATTTTGGTTGGTTGTAGAAGTGTAAATTTATTTTTCCCCAAAATTTTGATATCAACCCCATAACATATGATTGTATACATACATTCAAAGATTATAGCTCTAACTTCATTTGAATAATTTTATTGATATTTTCTATTGAGAAAATATTGCCAATAATAATTCTGTATAGAGATAACCTTGCCCAAAGATATGTTACACCAGTTTATGGAGTGCATTTGCATCTGGGTTTAAGAAGAATTGCAGGGCCAGGGATTTAGCTCAGTGGTTCAGCTACCTGCTTCGCAAGTGCAAGGTCCCGAGTTCAATCCCTGGTATCAAAAAAACAAAAATGAAGAAGAAGAATTGTGATCTTTTTTTTACATGATGATGGGGCTTATTTGGGAAGTCAATATATGCACCTACCATGTCCTAATCGATTTCAATCCCTTTGTCCTCCCTCCTGTTTCCCCCCTTCCCAATATCAAGAAGTCTGCCTTCTCAATTCTTATCCTCCTTTGTTTTACTTGCTTATTTACTAATTCTTTATATTTTAGCTTTCTCATATAAGAGAAATCATATAATATTTAGCTGCATCTGGGTAATTCCACTTTACACCATGGCATCTAATCCCATCCATTTTTCTGCAAATCACATGATTTCATTCTTCTTTATGGCTGAATGGTATTCCATCGTGTATATAGACCACATTTTCACTATTTGTTCATCAATTGATGCGCATCTAGACTGTTTCCACAGCTTAGCTATTGGTACTCGTATTTTTAAAAATATTTCTCCTTTACATTTTCTGTCTTTGGTGTCATTCTTAGAAAGGCTTTCCCGATCTTTTTATGATACTGCAATGATGATGAATAATAATAGAATTCCTCTGTACTGTAAAGCCTCTGTATAAAATATACAGAAACTTTTCTAAGTCAGTAAAATTTCCAAATGAAAATTCAAAAGAAAAGTAAAGTAATTCAGAATGCATTAATGTATTTTTAAGTAAAAACACCTCAGCTCAGTTACTATAAAAAATTGGGGGCTATGCAGTGGTAGAGGAGCTTATTTAGCATGCCTGAGGCCTTGGATTCACCCCCAGCACTTAAGGAAGGGAGAAAGGAAGGAAGGGAGGAAGGAAGGAAGGAAAAAAAGAAAGAAAAAAGAAAGAAAGAAAGATTGGAAGAAAGAAAGGGGTGAAAAATAATTTTATACAAAAAAATACAGAAAAATTAAGTATCTAAGGTACCAATGAACACTAGAGTTTGGAATATGAAATACAAGCACCAGAATTTAAAACTAATGCCAAGTAACAGTAGAACATACTTTCATGGAAATGATAAGAGAAAGTGAAATAATTTTAATTGAAGGAAAAATAAGATGATGAGGCAAATTATAGATGCCAGAGTAGAGATTCAGAAGCTTGACATTTGTGCAAATAATTTGGACTGTATTTTGAGAATTGTGCCAGAAAATTTCCTTATGTTAGGGCCACAATATGGAGAAATAATGACACACCACGAATGTTGAGAGATTAGCAATAGGAAGCTCTTGGAGCCCTGTGTCCTTTAAAAGGTGAATGGAAGTACAGCTATAGCCCAAGAGCACACAGGGCAAGTCTGCTGT